TTAAAATATCAAATACTGCTATAGGAAATAGGAAATAAAAATACTGCTTACTTCTATAGTAAACAATGTAGTAAATTTCCTAATAATTTTGAGCAATATTTGTTTAAAAACACTTCGAATTTGTATTGATTCATCAGGGAAGTCTGCATAATTACTGGGATGCCCTGACATTTCTCATCAAAAGTTTTTATTACTATGCAGATATTATTTGGTAAATCTTATTGCAAAATAATTGACGTGGTTTATGTTGCACTTATTTTATCATGTTGCCATAGCATTTAGAAATTTTGAGAATATTTTGAAACTATATAGATATAGTCTTGAAATATTATATCACTGTAACTGATGATAAACTGAGTATTATTAAATCTCTGTATTTGATGATACACTGAAAAATTACTTTACTTGAAAGAAATAAAATACGCGGTAATCATATAGTATGCAATGTACTGGGTTTAGTTAAATATATTTCTTAGATGGCGGCAATAAAATTGGCTGTTATTATAATTATTTCTTTTTCTCGCCATTTTACTCTCGTTCGAATTTAAAAGAAGCATTTTAATGGCTCCATCTAAGAAATAATTAAATAACTAAATGTAGTAGATTGCGTAATACATACTTATCAAACACACCCTTTGGAACACTTTCTAATAGAAAAAAGACATGACACCTAAAACTGATGCAATATTTTATTTCTGAGAACGTTTTACAGATATGCTCTTGGTAATATATCCACATAAAGAACATATAAACATAACATAGATGTAACAACAATTGAGACAATATAGGTCGTGGAACTTTGAACGAGATCTGCGGAGCCCCAAAATTCACAGATCTTGCACAAAATGCAGATATTTATTCACTTAAAAAATGCAGTATTTACACAAAAGATAACACAAACATGCATAAAACCTCAGAAAGTCCTTCAAAAAGGAACCTAAATATTTCAATTATTCACATAATTAAATCTTACATCAAAACACACTATTTATTACAGAATAAAATGAAATGTACATTTTGCAACTTGAAGGTTGGCATAAAGTGACGCCTTCCATACATATAAACTGTTATTACAGCCTAACAGTTACGGTAAGTTTACAATATCATGTTTCAAACTTCTTCTGGTAACTTCAAGTAACTTCTTCTAGTTCTAAAATTTTGATACATTGCCTACGAATATATCCACATTTTAACTTATTATTAGAATAATTTATATGAGCCGATATCAGATAGAATTGATATTAGAATAATTTTGTGCCACTGAAGCTAGTGTTTGAATTTTAGTGTTAAACCTAGCTAAGGAAAGGATGCTGTAGCTAGAATCAACATAAAAAATTACATTTAAGCATTCACCTAGAAAAATGAGGCTGTAATGGAAAAATAATACTCATTATTATACTCTATTTTACAATATACATATCATTTAATAAGGAAGCTTATCAAAAGTTTCGAGCTAAAAACCGGAATATATTGCCGTATATGCATTGTTTTATAAAATAAACATTCATTAATGTAATCCTCCTTTATTCGCATTTAGGACATTAATTAAAGTAATAATCTTTCAGCTTTACCAAAATTCATTTAACCTCATTTAGAATTCATAAAGCTTGAGTTATAAATGCAAGTCAAAACTAGGTTTATCACGTATCATTAAATAACACTGTAATTTAATGGCTTGATGAATAGTCATAAAAATGCAACCATTTTCATCTAGTTCCATTAAATGTTCGCATTTTATTTAGCAAATCATTGGATTAGATTTTAAGTTGCAATGATGATTGGATTTGTGTGCTTAATCCTAAATTTGTTGAATATTTTTAGAAGATACAGGTGGGCATTTGAAAAAGAAATTTAACATGTTACACGAAGGATTGGTGATACAGGTGGGCATTTGAAAAAGAAATTTAACATGTTACATGAAGTAACATGAAGGATTGATATTATTTGGTTTATAATTTTGTTATAAAAACTGTTATTTTCAGTAACACATTTGATTTATAATCTTTATAGGTGCGATTTTGACCATGGTTCGAAACTAAGCCACACTAATAAGGTAACTGCTTCAAACTCAGGGCCAGCTAACAAGGTAATAAAACTTGTGATGTACACCATTACCGTTTCAGCAAAAATACTGTTTGAAAGTTGAGTAATAAAGCAGAATATAGAAGTTTAATAACCGAAACTTTAAGCTATGGAAATATTTAAATAGAAATAGTGATTTCTCAAGTAGCAATTATTACACAATTTTTGAAATGCGGTAGCTTCGAAAAATGTGTTACTTATAAAAAACCATGGCTTACTTTAAATACGTTCTATCAAACTGTTTTACTTTAATTTGTGTCTCAGCATGAAACATCATAAAATCTACTGAAAAGAGACGAAAATAATGTTTATAACATTTACTTTTTTTCCAATTTTTCTTTTAAAAACAAGTTATTCCCAATATTAAAGTCTGTCCTTCACATCTACTGTTTCCTCTGATTCACCAAAACATATAAAATAGGAAAATTTTAATTAGGAGAGAAAGGTTTGGCAATATCAATCTTTCGTAGTGATGCTGTTCTGTGATTATTTATAGTCAGCATCGTTACTGCCAGCTCAGATATTTTTTTTTCTTTAAAATTATATTCTTGCCTTCAAATAACAGATATTGGTTGTGATGATTTAAATTTAAATTTTGATTAGGAAATAATGTTTGGAATCATTATTTCTAGCCAGCTTTTTTTTTGCTCAATCCAAAATAACAGTTTTTAGGTTGCTGTATTTAGTTGGTGTTTTGTTACTGACAGGTCGAAACGGGATGAGGATTTCTCTAGCAGTCCAAAAGTTAAGACTACAGTTCACTTTTAAGAGTTTAACCGTCATAAATTAACTTTAATTCTATCGATCTTTTAATAAAAAACATGTATTTAAAAAAATTAAATTCAAATAATTTCTCAGTCTTTTTCTCCATTTTTATTGGTCTACCTAAGCTCATGATGTACAATAGCATATTCTTTGTATCCCAGCATTGTACTGCCAGAATTAAAATTTGCTACACCTGAGAGCGATTTTCAAGCACCGCTCTTTAATAATTTAAGTACAGGCAGTTGCCTATTATTCACAAAGTGTTTACGTTAATCTATAGTTTTTAGACTAAAGAATACATCATTTTATATAAAATGAAAGGATAAGAAGAAACGTAAATGCAGAATTATCATAATATTAATATCTCATGTTATGTTTGTCTGTGATACTTAATTATTAATTGCTAGCAAAAAATACGTGTTTCATTCATTAAAATTTAATATAAATTCAAAATTTTAAAAGGTTTCACTTAATTTATTTAAGGATAAGATTCACTATGCAGTGTAATTGTATATATTTTTTTAATTTCATTATTTAGAGTTAGGAAGTATACAGAAGTTTTGGTGTGAAATGAAAATTCAATGAATGTTGTGTCAGAGTAAATTACTTCATGCAGATTCAAAGTTTGTTTCATAAAAGAGCTTTGATGTAATTTAAAAAATATTAGAGATTTTTATTCATAATATAATATGCAACATATATTTTGGGGATGAACTTAAAAAATGGCTTAAAAACAAATTAAAATTTGAGCGAGTATTTTGAGTGGAAATGGTAATATTTTATTTTTTAATTTTCACTGCTTTTAACTTAAAATAAGAAAAATTAAAACTCTGTATAGCTAACGCTTTAATGGTTACATAAGCTTTCCTTGATGTAAATACTCGAGGAAATGGGAAGCTTTTCCATGAAAAAATAGAGTAACTTTATAAATATGACGCATTAAAATTGTTATACGATCTTATTAAAATTGCTTTTAAAAATTTAATACTTTAAGCCCTTTCTCAGAAAATAATTTTTTATATTTACAATTGACAGTTCGACTTTCGAAGGTTAATTCCTTAAAAAGCAAAATTTTGTAACGGAAAGATTTAAAGTACCGTACGTTAAAATGATTTCTCGTTCTGTTTAGTATACAAAGAAATGAAATTTCGTTTTACTAAAACATTTTTGAAAGTTAATTATGTTTATTTTGCTAAAATTTTATGCATGAGTTATTCAAAATTTATTTCTGTATTTTCCGCTCCAGTTCTTGTTCATATTTATGTAAATTCCATCTCAGTAAAAATTCAGCCACTGTTTTCATTTAATAAACGAAATATTTGCAGAAGAAATAATCTGCCTTTGCATTAACTGCTAAGAAAATTTTTTAAAAAATATTTTAAGTTGTCTGTTATATTTCTATACTATTTGGAAAATAACTGAAATCTCTTTTAGATTTCAAAGATTGCCCAACAGGGTTTGTTAATGCTTTTTAAGTTTTGGCTGAGCTCGCTGTCTACCATCTGCTCTTGCACTAAATTTTGCTTTTTATTTATTTATTTTTTTTGGCTTTTTATATCTGATTTAGTTTTTGAATATTGCCTCCGTTTTCCTCCGAAAAGTGCTTCTAATGTATATATAAAATATATCCTAGCTGATGTTATATGATATATATAAAATATATCCTATATATCCTATCTGATGTTTTAAAAATTTATTTCAAATATCATTTTGGTTACCAAATTACATAAGATTTATTTACATAAAGAATTACATTGTTTTTCTCATTAATTTAACTGATATGTTTATTAAACCCAGCCTTTGAGAAAGTATATTCATGAAAAAATGTCTCTCAGGCATAGTAATAATAATAATAATAATAATAATAACAATAATAATTGTAAAAAGGAAACAAAAGTCTGATAGGTATCAGATTTTAACGAACACTCAAAAGTTTAAGACCTTTTAGCTTTTGCTGTCTATTAATCTGCTCTTTCACGCAGTCTTGCTAACCCATTTTTTTATCTTTTTAGCTATTATTAGATATAGTTTTCTTCGCACTTATGCCATACACACTTCAACAACAAAATCACAACATTTTTAAAAGCTGCATAGTAGCATATGATTAGAATTTCCGAAACAGTGTTAAGTTGGCATACATTTGTATATTTTTTTAGTCTTTTCTTAGTTTATCATATCATTATTTAGTAATCTTAGTAAGATGGCTAACAAATTTTTTTGTCTTTTTATTATTTACTTTTTATCTGTTAACTTTATTTATTAAATATTACGTTCTTCGCAGTTACGCCACATAAAACAGAATTCAGCCGCAAAATCATAAAATATTTAAAAATAACATAACTTCAGATAACTACAGTCTTGCGCGCTAAAGATAGAAAGTTTTATCCCTTGCAGTGTTGTTAATCAAACACAAAGTTGTTAATAAAAAAATTATTAAAGCTTTAGAAAATCTGAAATAAATCATAAAAAATATAAAATGATATAATGTGAAAATTTTTAATATTTTTAATTATATAAATAACTTAAACGTATTTTTAACCACTTAAATCAATCCTATTTAAAAGTAAGAAACTGATATTGTTAAGAACTGCATCTTTTGTTTTCAAATAGCCTAATTTGTTAATCACAACAGACAGATTAAATTTTTTATTCTGCGGAATAGCAAGACTAGAATGAAAATTGAATTGACGCATAACGCAAAATATTACTTCGAGAGACTGATCCTTTATGGACTAATATTACTAATAATAATCATGACAAAAATAAGAATAATAATAGCGTTTTTATTTTCTGGTACTATATGAAATAATTTAGTAAATGCTTTAATTCAGCTAAATTTGCCTGCAATATAATTAATTATTTTAACTAATTAAAAATTAGTTAATAAGAAGGTTATATGGTTAATAAAATCTTCAAATTTAGCTGATTATCCATGCGATGTACCTAATAGTTTACTTAGTTAAGAAAAGGCTATGGTGAATGACATTTGCCAGGTTTTAATTACCTCCATTGTTATTCAGATGATCGCATCTAAATTTCGAAAGAGCGTCTTGAAATGTTACTTTATTTATCAGAACCAGTATCTTTTAAATATGTATCAGAATTATACCAGATTTCAATTTATTGCAATTTAATGACTAAGGAACAATAGTTAACACATTTAAGCACTTCAACTTCACACAATTCAGTATATTAAGAATGCATACAAAATTTACAAGAAGTTTGACAAAAAACGATGATAAATTTTACGATTCCTATTCTAAAGTCACACAGCATGCTAAGTGCTTAGCACACAATATACATGTAATAAAGTTTTATTGAAATGTGGCATGTGTTGAAAAGGCAATTCATGTGCATTTGCGTTGCCTTAAATACCAAACACTTTCATTTATTCTAATAAACAATCATTTTCATGAAAGGGATCAGTACATATATCTAATTTTATGAAAGATCTCAAGAAAGTTTTTCATTTAAAGCAAAATATTTATCTTGTTTCATCATTGTGAAGGTACGAAATGTCTTTGCTTTCTTCGAAAATAATATAGCTGTTACCTTGGTATCTGTCTTGTCAAGAAATGGTTTATTTCAAACAGTATAAAGTTTATCGGAGAGAAAATATATTTTTCTTACCTAATGTGTCTTACAAAGAGAAACCTTTAGAAAGCTCATATGCGTAAATATTTTCATATTGCCATCAAAATGTGTATTTTCTTTGGTCTAGATAACGATGAATAAAACTTGTCTTCCAACACTTAGATTATCCTGTGAATAATTATGTTCACTAAAATTTCGTATATAGTAAAATAGCATATTAAATGTAAATTATAGTACAGTAAATGGTGCCATATATCGTACTAAAAGTCAAGACTAGTAAGTTTTGACAGCACAAAAGTTTTCATAAATATATTATTTGTAGTCAAGTACACGCTGTCTTCTTTCAGCATACTGTTGCAACATCTGCAATAGTTCAATCTTCCTAATTACTAGTAACAAACGTATTCTTGATATGTACAATTATTTTTCATTCTCAAAGGAGGAGTTTTTAGTAAGTGGAGTATGGAGATACACGTGGATGAGAATAAAATAGGGCATTTATTTTTAACTTACTCAAATTTTGGGATTATATTTTTAATGATATGACAGATATTTAATATATTTAGTCCCAAAGCAGTCACACGAACTGAAAATGCCCACACTGGAAAAAAATTACAGTTTCTTAGAAATATTCGAATGGATGCATTTGACATTTCCCATTTCCATAATTTTTGCGCTTTGAGTTTTAGAGAATATCATTTGTAACTTTCGTAGTCTTAGTTGCACACGTACCAGTGTCACGTTCGTTTCTTTCGTAATCCCTGCGCCTGGGGTGATTATTCCTTGGATGGCAAGATATCACTTTTCTGAACGCCTTTCGGAAATTGTCAGATAGGAAGGCGTAAAGTATTGGGTTGACACAAGAATTCATGTAAGCCAGAATGTGCGACGTAATTTGGATGACTATATTTGCCGGATTCAGCTCATATGCACTCACACTCTTGAGTACCAGCACAATCTGTATAGGACACCAGCAGCAAGCAAATATGACTACGACTACCACTACCATTCGGGTGACTCGTTTTTTGGATTTGACACTTTCTGCGCTCACACGACCACCTGGAGCTACACCAAACCATAATCGTTTCAGCATAAGCATATACAAGCAAAATATCGAGCTCAGTGGTATGATGTATGAGGAGAGAAAGAAGCATATTTGGAATGCAGCATAATTATAACCGTTGGTTGCTAAGAAGACGCATACTGAATACTCAGTATATGCAAACATGTAGGTAAGTTCCCCGTGACTCTGAAGCGCTGGAACGCAGCAAAGTAAAATAACTATCCACATGAGACCTATAGCAATGTAGGCGTTTCTTTCTGTTCGTATGGACATAGAAGTAACAGGATGGACTACGGCCAGAAATCGATCCAAGGACATTAGAACTAGGGTATATATACTGGCATATGCACATACAATAACTAGGTATTGCACAACTCTGCACCAAGCATCACCAAAGGGCCAGTAAGGTAGGGCATAGTCCCAAGCAGTAAACGGTACGCAGAAAACTATGAAGAGGAGATCAGCCATAGCCAAGTTGATGATAAGAAGATTGGTGGTAGATCGCATTTGTGGATTACAGGTAACAACGATGACCACAAGCGCATTTCCGAAGAGCCCTACTACCACTATCACTCCAAAAAGGATGGGTACGACGATGCTTAGGATGTGTTCCATGGCGAATGCATCACTGTAATCGTGTCTGCCGTAGTCGTAGGAATCGGACATATTGGCACAATCTATGCTGCTGTTTACTAGAGACCCATTGCAATTTATTAGGGAATTCATGCTTGCATTAGTTGGTTTTAAAATTCCAGTAATATCTTCAAATTCCACCAAAGGTGGTGTTTCTCTGATTTCTGCCTCCATATCTAGATACTCATTTCCGATCATTATGGTATTGGAATAAGGTTAATTAACTTTCAAAAAAGAATTTCCGGAGTAAATATAGCTAACAAAGAGCTATAAACGCTTCTTCATGAAAAGCAATTGTTTTTTATGAGCAAAATATGTTGTATAATGTTTTCTGTTGCAGTTTATACTCAGCAAAGTTTCTCAGATTTTGTTTGCAAACAGGAAGTTCTTCACAAGCAAGACAGTGATTTTAATCTAAAATTTGTTGTGAAAAGTCTTCAGGAAAATTTCTTTCAACGCTTGAAAATGTCCTATAAACAAACAGGTTTTAATGCAAAAGCAAGCTCTTGTTCTTTTATTGCCTTCTTTTTCAAGATTCATCAAACTTAATATGGAAGATAATCACAAAGGTTGCTGATGAGGAAACTGATCTCTTTCTTAGCATACATGCTGTGACACCCTAAAAAAATAAATATTAACATTTAGCTTTTTAATAGTGATACACATATGAAATAAAATTAATATATATTAACATTCATCGTTAATGAATCTTTAAAATATTTTCTTGATTGTTTCACAAAAGACTGCAGAGTGTTAATTTACTTTTACTAACTAATTATTTTGTGACAAAGAGCTTTTCTGCATTTCTCGCTGCAGAGTATTAATTTACTACTAACTAATTATTTTGTGACAAAGAGCTTTTCTGCATTTCTCGCTTTCCCTTTACCTGCCAGAATACTAATTTCCATTTGCACATATCCAAATGAGATAGTATTTAAAGGAAAGTTTTTAAATGGTGGAATCCGAGCGTGGTCCGCCTGCTAAAGGCCACGTTACTAGTTGATTCTCTTGAGAGCAGTTAATCTGCTGTATTGCGTATTATCACCATTAGGCTTGTCACGTCAATATTAGGTCTGAGCCAATTTGCATGTTTTCTGTCTGTAAAGTCTTTGAGCTAAATTACAATTTACTTAGTAAAGTTCAATTCATTCTTTTGATTTAAGCCATAAATGCTGGCTAGTTGCGTAAGCCTCAACAGTGCCTCCTGTTAAATACTGATTTTAACAAAAGGGTCTCTTACACCATTTATAAGCAGCTGTTGTAATTTTCAAGGCATAGAGAGAAGCCACTTATGTCTTTCAGAGTCCTGAGTCAGTTTATGTTACCACAGAGCGAAAAATTCTATGAGGTAAAGTTAAAAATATTTTAGTGATTTAACTTGATATATTTTAATAGGAAGAATATTTATCATTTTGTGTGAAAATACAAAATTACTAATGATTATTATTAGAGAATGTTAAAATACACTCATGTCCATAAATTAAGGATAATACGGAGTCACGCGGAAATCGAACTCTAAAATACATATATCACCTGTAAAATCAATACACACATCTTCAAGAATCATATGCAAATTTCAGGAAGTAACCAGATGACACCGATGGTATGTCACAATGACGAGAGTGTTAGAGAGTGATATATAAGGAATACAGGCAAAGAAGTAAAATTGTTCGCAGGCGCTTTATAAGCATTTCAGTGCAATAACCGTATAGTTATTACACAAAGGACGCATTTGGATGATTTTTTACGGGGTAGAATTATCGGCCGTCTGGAATGTGGGCGTACCCAACTGGAAGTATCAGACGAACTTGGAATTGCCCAGAGTGTCATCTCCAGGCTTTGTCAACGATTCCAAGATGATGGTAATGTGAGTAGACGTTACAGCACAGGTCGCCCCAGAGTTACAACGCCGAATGAGGACCGGTATTTGGCAGTTACTGCCAAAAGAAACAGGCGGAGCACAGCCTCAAACCTGTCTCGTCGGCTCTCTTCAGCCACTGGTACAACAATTTCAAGGCAGACCGTGTACAGACGCTTAGGGCAGATTGGTCTATATGCCCGTAGACCTGTCAGATGCGTTCCACTTACTGCAACTCACTGTCGCCTGCGGTTAGCCTGGTGTAGAGAGCATGCATTGTGGACACCGCAACTGTGGGCTTGTGTGATGTTTTCCGACGAGTCCAGGTTTAGCTTGCAGTCTGATTCTCGCCGGGCCTTCATATGGAGAGCTCCAGGTACCCGTTACCAAAAAGAAAACATCACTAAACGACACCGTTACGGTGGTGCAGGAGTGCTCGTTTGGGGTAGAATTATTCTGGGTTCCAGAACTGACCTGCATGTTCAAATTGGAACCATGACAAGCCAAATCTATCGGGACGTCATTCTGGAGCAAGATGTATGAATTATTTACCTCATAGATTTACCTCATAGAAACGCGTGTTTCGGGGCGCCATGGGCGCACAATTTGTGTTTATAGATGACAACGCCCGTCCTCACCGTGCAAACATCGTAAACGAATGCCTTCAATCGGAGGATATCACCCGTATGGACTGGCCAGCATTCTCACCTGACTTGAATCCAGTAGAGCACGTGTGGGACATGCTTTGCCGACGAGTTGTAGCCCGTCAACCTCCTCCTACATGTCTACCGGAACTTCGGAGAGCATTGGTTTTTGAGTGGTGTAATATCCCCCAAGATCAGATCGATAATTTGATACTCATCATGCCTAGGCGTTGTACGGACTGTATTGCATCGTCTGGGAAACATACAATGTATTAACACTCATACCAACCATGTAATATTGGTTTTTTGTAAATAGGTTTTATTTGTAATTTGCTCCAGGGAATAAAAATCGCTAATATTTTTAATAATATCAAACATATAGCATCCTATTTTGCTCTTTACCTTTTGTTTAATAGGTAAGCTTTACAAATAAGTCAAATTTGTTTTGCTTCTAATTTGTTTTGCTAAACATCCGGTCCTTTGCCTGATTTTGCATTATCCTTAATTTATGGACACGAGTGTATATAGCTACCAAAGGAGAAAATCAGATTCACTTTGTGAATGGTTTGTTTTTATTTAATTTATCCCTAAAAAATTCGGGGTATTTTTTTTTATTCTAATAATTGATCACTTTCATTTTATATGCACTTTTATTGAAGTCCGCAAGAACTAATAACGGTTTCCTTTACTAAAAGTAGAAGAATGCATTGAATGCCTCAGGTGAAAAATGCATTTCTTAGAAACATTTTTAATATTTCCTGACCTAAACTATCTTGTGAAAAAAAGTGGTGCGGTGATAGAATCGCTATTATTATATAACGAAAGTGCAAAGTTCTTTTTAGAATAGATCATTGCTTCCTATAATATGCATCACATAGTAACATCTCTAAAGGCTAAACATCCGGTCGCCTGAAGGATAACAAACTTCTAGCCAATAAAAATAGGAAAGCAAAAATGAGACTTGTAGAAAAATAAACGGATGCTTTGGGCATACTAGACATTCTACAATAACACTGAAAGTCTATTTTATGCATGTAGCTATTTATTCAGCATACATTTTATGGGTTATTGTTATTTCGTAAATGCACAATAGCCATAATATTTATAAAGAATTTCCTAAACATATAGAAAAAGGAAGAATCCTAAATTGTTTTGAACCAGGGTATGAATATTAAAAGCCTGTTGAATTTCTCAAAGTCGATGAAGAATCTTGAAACGTTTACAATTATCTCGAATGATTTTTACAAAAATAATAAAAGAAAAAAAAAGAATATTAAAAACTTAACACTTATTTCAACTCTGAGCTTAAGAACATTTAAAATACAGTTTTTTACATCTGTATTTTTTAAAAGATGCAAATAAAGTACTTATTTAAAATTCTTAAACCTGAAGCTGAATCGCCTATATAATGTTTGACAAAAATATTCGAGTAAAATAAAAACATTTGGTGCTTTAGAATATTTTAGAATTATAGCAAGTGTAGACAAGAAAGGATTAATTGAAGAGTTAACACAGATAAACAATAAATATGACACACATTCTCTACAGAAGATTTAGAGTGTGGCATTTAGGGTGGCCACGAAGTAATGCTGTTCATCAATGTCCACTAAAATTATAAAAATCGCCTTTATTTTTATATTACTCTTCCGCTGGATGTAATAATGCATATCAATGCTTGTTTGAATGCTCATTTGAATATGTGTGAAAAGGATGTTTATAAATGCTTTAGAAAAAAATCTAATGTGAACACCACATGACTTCTTTTTACGGAATATTAAATTATACGGAATATTTTTTCCTGCATTTCATTTACAGGAATATTTTTTCCTGTAAATGAAACAGAATTCCAGAACACAAACAGTAAATGAAAAGAAAATTCCTTTTACGGAATATTTTTCCTGCATTTCATTTAAACTTATTTCCTCGAATTTCATTAGAGATATATTTCTCATTCAATTAATACAGTTCTAACTTCAAGATACGGCAAAAATACATAAAACCCAGAATATGTGTACTAAAAATTGAAAGATATAGAAAAACATAAAACACCAATACAGTTAAAACAATTGGTCTCATTCGGCAAAAAGACACTGAAGGCGTAGAAACTGACTTAACTTGTTGTGGATGCTATGCTGACTCAATATATGGGACAGTTTAATAACTTAAATGATAATTCTAGAATGGATTACGCATAATTCAATTCGCAATAATAAAAGAAGACGTTACTTTATTGTTGCGCAGCTTAGTTTCTCTAGATTGGCAACAAATCCACTACTCTGCTAAGTTTCAAATGCAAACTGCTGTGGTAAACAATATTAGGTTAGCGGCACTTAAAGAACTTTTAAATTGTTGATAATTTTACAACTATAACATGCAGGTTATCTTAAGTCATAAAAACCTTAACAGAAAGATAAGAACGACATAATTCAATCATTTTTAAAGCAAAAAATTCACAATTTACAAATATATAAGAATAAAGAAACTGAGCTGACTGAGCCGAGTAACAGAGTGAATATATAAATACACATATATTTATATACGCAACCCAAACGGGAGCTGCACATCTACATGTTGTAGCAATCGCACATACAAAATTCCAGCGTTCTGAAGCTATTCGGTTTTGAGTTATGCGAATACATACATACATACGTACGCAATCACGTACGTAAATACAGACGCCACGAGAAAATCTCTTTTGAATCCATTTTAAATCAGTTTTATAACTCGTTTGGGGAAAATAAATCTTTTAATCTGTCTTTGCGTATAAAAATAACAGAAAAACATCGTTAAATTGCATTCGATAGTGGTGAAAATGGATATTTTCTTTGAAATATGGTACCCGGAATTTTTCGTGATTACAGTATTTCCTTTATTTCGTACAAGGTAGTAAAAAAAACTATAATGATAATGAATTTTCAAAATAATTAATGAACTGCGTAAAACTTACGACTAAATTTGTTTTAATTTTGAAGAGCTAATATTAAGTAACATTCACATATATTTTTTTCTACCAACTCAATATATATTATTGCTTTTAATGGAAGCAAATTTAAAAATCTTATGATACTTCACATTTTAATCAATGACATGTCAATGAGGAACAGAACTTTATTAATGGCATGATAAATTTCAAATATCAAGTTTCTCAAAAAATACTGTAAAATTAAGCAACAAAGTGTCTTAATAGACATGCTACCATATGATTTTTGCTAAATAGATATTTTGCAACGAGTTGCAGTTTCTTGTTCCTGAACAAACTTATTTTATTATAGATTTGAGTTAGGAACAATTATGATAATAAATTATAATTTCTTACGTAAAATACGGTAAATTTATATTACTGATTTAAGCATAAGGCAGTAATTCAGAAGTATTAACTTCAAAATTAAGTTTATATGTAAAGAAATTAAATTATAATGAATAGTAATAATTGACATATTGAAAGATATACATGTTAAAGTTCATGCAGCGTCTCAGTATTAAAGAAGAGATCGAATGCATCAATATTTGATTTTCTGATTCCTTTAAAGGCAACTAAAACGGAAACGAAGAAAGAAATCGCATATGAAATTGCAGCAAAAAATATTGGCAGAAAAATTAATTGAAAAAAGCAGGAAAATGTTCAGCAAATCTAACACTGACTGCTATTTCACTAGCTATGGGCACTGAAAAATGACGAAAAGAATCCAATAAAAGTTGATAAACAGTGCCACAGTTCACAGCCTTCAGAAATTGGTTTTCACGCTTTGTACTTCTTTTTAAATCAAGAAAAATGGCATTGAGAAAACATCAATCTCCAAAAGTATAATGACAATAAAATAATCTTCCATTGACGAAATTGGCAATTTGGTTTCCTTGAAGAAATGCCTTTCAAAAGAATGAAAACTATAAACCCGTAGCTTTGAACCAGTAATTCCTCTTAAATTTTGTATTTCACGAGAACTGAAAGAAGAATTTCTCAAAAAAGTGAATTATGCTTATGTAATATAATATCGCATCATATCCTTTTATTAAAAAATAATTTTCTCATCCTTCCATCAATTTTGCGTTTATTTGTTTAATAATAATTCTTTAATGCTTGAGATTACAAGAAAACACTGGCTACCAATAATATCTCTATATACAGTATATGTATATAATCTGAAGAGGCAAAGGGTGTATTAACGTTTTTTTATACACTCACTGAGCTCGCAGTCTACCAGTCTGCTGTTCCCTTACTCCTACTAAACCAATTCTTTTTGTCATTTTAGCTTTATTATTTAAACGTAGAAAATTTACCTTAAAACTTTCTCCATGAAACTATCCTCCCTGTGTAGCTCCCCTTGCATGCTTTAATGTAATCCAGCGTATCTAAAAATAAAGAAAGTGTGTATGTCACTCAATTGCTCATCAACAATTTTTTCGTCATCGACAGACCAGCTGATCCATTGGGATAGGTGCTCATCAGCCTGTTTGATCAGGTGGATGGAAAATATATATATATATATATATATATATATGTCAGATAAGTATAGAATATGTAAAAGGTAAATTATAATTTAAATTAGCTGCGTAAATTAATTTCTCCTATTCTAAAAATAGTAATATATTTGCACTGCTTCATTTCGAGACTAATGCATGTCATATAATTCTTACGTAATTTTGGTGATGTAAATGGAACTAAAATTCAAACGGCCGATAATAATTTTACAGCAGTATTAATTATCCAATCAGACTGTATTGAGAACCAAAAGTAACTCGAACTGCGATGAATTAAGATTTCATCTTGAATATAACGCAGTTACTTTCTACGCTTTGGCCTTGCTGGACAGTGTAACGCCGAAAACATAGCGGCAAAACGCATGTGTGCGCTGTTATCGTCATGCGATGATTTGTAGGTGCTTTATTTTTTACCACGACATTTTCTACTACGATGTTTTTGAACTGCGAAGTTTTTGAACCGCTTTATTTTGTACCACGATGTTTTGTACCACGACGTTTTCACCTTGCGCTGTTTTCTCGGCGATGTTTTCAGCTGTAACCCTTCTTGCTGCACGACAAGACTCCCTCTCACGCGGCTAGGGTAGTGTTGCAGTTTCTAGCAAAATAACATGTGCCGATTTTTAACCGCTTTCCATATTCACTTGCTTTGGTGCCAAATGACTTTTTTTATTTCTAAAAATCAAATTTCACTTGAAGAGTCAACACAGACTAACATTAATGTTTTAACAATCAAGTACTATAAATTTAAATAAAATTACCATACCATTAATTGATAGTTTATATACAAATCCATTGTTGTATAACATAAGATTCAATAAATTCCTCATATCATTGATGCGCATTACATTCGCCGACAAACAATTTTTTTATTATTTAAAGTTTTAAAATGGGGATGCGCATTAGATTCGATGGCGCATTAGATTCGCATAAATACGGTATGATATCTAAATTTAAATAAAATTATCATACCATTAATTGATAGTTTATATACAAATCCATTGTTGTATAACATAAGATTCAATAAATTCCTCGTATCATTGATGCGCATTACATTCGCCGACAAACAATTTTTTTATTATTTAAAGTTTTAAAATGGGGATGCGCATTAGATTCGATGGCGCATTAGATTCGCATAAATACGGTACTTAAAAAGCTTCAAATCTTTAAATCCGTATCTCATTATTATTTAATTACTCAATTTATATCATTATAGTTTGTACCACGATGTTTTCTCTTTGCTTACTTTTCTCCCACGATGTTTTGTACCACGACGTGTTCGCCTTGCGTTGTTTTCTCCGTGACGTTTTCGTCCACGATATTTTTGCCGCGATCTTTTCGACTGTAACCTGCTTGATAGCAGCCTGTCTGCTCCTTCTTTTACTGCAAATGTATCAAAAATGTAAACCTCTTGAAATAGGCACAAATAATATGTCAAGTTGTTTGTGGCCGGAATATGATTACTGAAAATAAAATGAAGATTTAATGTGCCTCAGCTGCCAGTCTTTTATTCATTATAGATTAACATTTATACAACATCAAAATTCTCGCTGTTCATTACGGTTTCAACCGCCTGCGTTCTATACCATAAATAATGTAAAGCCCTTTTTTACGTATATATTATTTGTAAATAATGTAGAATCATTGCGTTTTTTTTTAAAGCAGGAGATATGAAAATTGAACAGTGCTCTCTCCAAGACCCGAACCTGGACCTCTCGAATACGTGCTGTGCTACGTTACACCACGAAGGCATGCTGGAAGGAGGGAGAAATTATATATACTTCCCTTTTAAAGAGCGCCTGGTGATTAGAGCACGTAATCGCCAGATCATGGTAGTGACGAATTAATGTCTAGTACCTTTTAGTTCGGGCGCCACTATAGAGTCATTAATATTTTTTTTTGAAGCAGGGGACATGAAAAATGTGCAGTGCCCTCGATGGGCCTCGAACCTGGACCTCTCGAGTACGCGCTGAATGTGCTAGCGTTACACCACGAAAGCATGCTAGAAGTAGGGAGAAAATACCTTGCAATATATTAAAAAAAAACTAGCATTTAGTATAAAGTTTTCCGGAACATGGCTATATGAAATAAGGAATAATGGAAGTACTGGAATAAAATGATCATCAGCACGTAAAAACTTCAAAATATGTAACTCTTTGAACAGAATTATAAGCTATAGATCAGGCCTTGGAATTTTAAGAGCAACGGGTCACCGACTGACAATTCATAATAAGTGATTCACAATTTTAATTGATCCACTTGAATTTTGAAAATAAAGCATAATATATAAAAAATAAATTATAAAACATAAATATGAAACGAACAGTTGAGGATGCATAAAAATTAAATGAAAATGAATAATAACAATGATATTTTTGTTTTAATACAAAGTTGCAGTAACAAGCATGCCTTTTATTTTTAAAATATAAAAACTGTGACATAATTTCAGGGAGAAATCGATAAGTTTGGCAATGACGATCCATAATTTCTTGACAGACATTTGGCAACACTTATGTCGTTATCTTAGTTCGCTTTAGTTCAGTCTCGGTTATAGCACTTGTTCAAGAACGAGAGAATAATATCAGTAGCGAAAAAAAATTAGCTTTGCCATTTTGTCAGCATTAGGTTCTACTTATAAATGCGAGCAAATACGTTTGCACATGAAATTTATTTAAAATAAGAACAGAAGGAGCTTAACTGTTGAAACTTCAGATGCTTAGGACACAATAACACGCCGAATAAATACTAATTCAGAAGTCAAACAACAAAAATCATCGATATATTTACAAAATTTTCACAGGACTAGTTTCGATGGTTTTTACCGAACCACCATCCTCAGCTGCAAAACCGCAAATGAACAAGATAGGAAATAATTAGTAGATAAGATAAGAAAGCCTGGACAAGAATAAGCAAGTGGCGCCGTCTGTTGGTGAAACCAGAACTAAAACATAATTTCTTTAAAGGCCGAAGGCAAATTTGGATTGGAATTAGGATCGTTAACTAGAACAGAAAGATTTTTATGAATGTGAAATGCCTCTAGAAAATCCAGTTCTCCAATGGAAGATGTTTTTTGAATAATTTGTGGCAGCAGGAAAAATTGAAAGTGTGGTTTTCGGACCAACAATGTTGAGCAACAGAAGACTTCTGTGTTTCCTTTTTTCTAACATATGCCTCATGTTCCTTGACGCGAAATTTTAAGGCTCTCTTAGTTTTTCCAATGTAAATTAAACCACACTTACAAGGAATCCTATAAATACCCCAGGAATTCATATCCGGAATGGGGTCCTTGAATATGGAACTCGGAATTTTATTGATGGGAGAATAAACAACTCGAAAGTTAAATTTCTGCAAAATATGTGCAACTTTATAGCTAATTGATGGAAAGAAGGGAATGACAACAGAAGTTTTATAATCTCCTAAAACAAGAGTGTGCCTTTTAGTGTGTTTAGATGAGAATTTTTTAACTGCTTGATTAATAATGTTGGGTGAAAAGCCCCTGTCAATAGCTATTGCTTTTAAATAATTTAGTTCTTCATCAAGGGCTAGTTTGGAGGAGCATCGAAATTGATGAGCTAATTTATCTCACTCAACTCTGTTTGAAACAAACAGATTTTTTCCAAAATAAATATTACAAGCAAACTGATGGATTAGCCATGGGAAGCCCCCTCAGTCCCATCCTGGCTGATATCTACATGCATTATTATGAATCAAAATTGTTTGAAACTTTAAACTTCCCGGCATGGTTCCACTACGTAGACGATACTTTTACCCTGTTTGAAGGTAATAAAAATGATTTAAATAAAGTTCTTTCAACAATGAATTCTATTGATCCTGCTATTCAGTTCACTTTTGAACTTGAGACTTGCAATTCTCTTCCGTTTCTCGACATTCTGGTCACACGTAACATATCCAACTTCAGTACTACAGTTTGCCGTAAACCTTCATCGGTTTGCCTTCCACCACACTTAAGATCATGTCATCCGACTAAACAAAAGTTAGCTTCATTTTATTCCTATGTTTTCCGTGCTCTTCAAGTTTGCTGCTCAAAACTAGCCCTTGATGAAGAACTAAATTATTTAAAAGCAATAGCTATTGACAGGAGCTTTTCACCCAACGTTATTAATCAAGCAGTTAAAATATTATTCAAAAAACATCTTCCATTGGAGAACTGTATTTTCTAGAGGCATTTCACATTCATAAAAATCTTTCTGTTCTAGTTAACGATCCTAATTCCAATCCAAATTTGCCTTCGGCCTTTAAAGAAATTATGTTTTAGTTCTGGTTTCACCAACAGATGGCGCCACTTGCTTATTCTTGTCCAGGCTTTCTTATCTTATCTATCTAATCATTATTTCCTATCTTGTTCATTTGCGGTTTTGCAGCTGAGGATGGTGGTTTGGTAAAACCATCGAAACTAGTCCTGTGAAAATTTTGTAAATATAACGCTGATTTTTGTTGTTTGACTTCTGAATTAGTACTTCAGATGCTTGTATTCGTCTTAAGATTACTAACTATAAGCCACATTTGACTAAAATTGATATCTCAAGTTCAGCATCAAAGAAACCACTGATATCAAAGAGAAAACTAAAGTTCGGTCAGTTAAAAATGTTTGCCTTTATAATAATTAGAATTATAATTTAATTTTGATGTTTAAAGTGCATGGAGGGGGGGGGGGGGGGGGGGGGGGGGGGGGGGGGGGGGGGGGGGGGGGGGGGGGGGGGGGGGGGGGGGGGGGGGGGTAATTATTTGTCTAGAACATTTATCTTCTTACTCACGAAAAAAAAAATACTGTTTTAAAATGAAATACCGCTAACCATAAACGTCTTCTTAACACATACATTTTGGTTGTGTTAAGAACCAAAATGTAATTCGC